AGACGTGTTCGTGGAACGGATGGACCAGCTGAGAAATCAGCTGGATACGATTCTCGCCCCTGGAACTCGTGGACGCAACCACCGACGACGACCAAGAAGATCGTGGATGTCCGAAGCGAGGGACAGGGATCAATGGCACCTTCTGTACTGGGGCCCGCACGTCACTTGAGGACGGGCCATCTAAGTATCTAAGTAAGTAAGTTAAGTAAAGATCGACAGCTTCTTCTGACAAGGGAAGGACGGTTGGTCGAAGTGGCCTTTTAAGATGGGTTGTCCACCATGGTGGAGGACTAAAACGCTGGTTCCAAATCTGTGTTTCTTATCTGCGGCGCGTTTTTGGACGAGGAGTTATGAGCGCTTAAGGGAGCAAAAATGAGTGTTTTTCTGGGATAAAAACGGTTGCTAATTTTCCCAGCGCCTCAATGAGACAGCCGGAGCCGGATATATCTCACCTAAGAGCATTTGTTTTATAGAGCGCTGGAAAGATTATCACTGGTCCATTTAGGGCTAGGAATAATATTACTACTGTTTTTATATTATTTACACATTCATTTTTTCTTCAATAATCGCTCATAACTTCTCGCACAGAAATGCGCCGCAGATAAGGAAGACAGATTTGAAATCAGCGTTTTATGCTCTCAACAAGGTATACAAATCATCGCAAAGGGCCACTTCGACTAACCATCCTTCCCTTGTGAGTGACAGTCTCAACGAGAATTCGGCACGTGGAGAAAAATCATGTGAGTCCAAAATGAAAAATTGAGGAACCTTAAAAACGATGAAAATTCCTCCATTTGTCTACGACAGTTAGTACTGTAGTTATCAACAAAAAAAATGATTTTTACTTTTGTCATCCTTCTATCGCGTGCAGCTTCCGAGGCCTTAGACTTTCTTGCTTTATCCATAATCTCCAATTGTTATAATGCGATAATAATGAAATTTTTGATTACCAGTTTTGATTTTAACCCTAGTATAAAGTGTAATATTTTTCAGTGGTCTGGAAGATACTGCTCCGAAATTGCGCACTAGCATGTTCAAATGTTAGCAGTTGGCTCTAGCAATTTGCTTCATGTGTAAAACTGGAGAGCCTGTACTCAGCCGAATGCCTTTGATACTGTCGGTACATCGATGACTGTCGATTGGTGATTGCGACACAGCCCGAAATGGACGAATGCTACAGAGTCCCTAAAATCCGAGTACATCAAAGTCACGTGCGAAAAACCGCGAGGATGACTGCCAACCCTGTCGCGTTGGTCAGATTCTAATGGCGTTGTAACATTGAAGTGGTATCGCTCAAGTAACATCCTCTCTTGCATGTACATTTGAATTTCCAACAACAGCATCATTCTGCGAAGAGTTTGAGCTAAAGTCTCTGTCTTATCTCTATTTACGGTATAACTTATATAATACGGTACATTACCGTATCCCGAGTCCGGTCACTCTAACTAGAGCTTCGCTGGGTGTTCCCATCAAAATGCCAGAACTCTGAAGAATTCCATCGTAAACTGGCAAAGCTAGAGGTGCAGGAATTTTACGACCCACCGACGGGTCGCATTGTCCGATGGCAGAGCATGTATGACCCGCCGGTGGGTCATATCGCCGTAAATGTGTTGAAGTCTACACTTCAAAACTGCATAATATATATTCGATTTGTTTCGTCCCCGAGATTACTTTGTATGAAGTCCAATGACATCAATATCCTGCCTAGCGAAATAGGATACCATACTGATGCAACCCTGAATCACTGACATTTTGCCAAAACTATTATTGAGATTTGTGGGCCGCATATCATTCAGCAGCGAAAGGTCAACTGTGATTCATATCTTGATCGGCATCCACGACATGCGAATACGATCCGCTTCGGCATAGCTAAAGTTTTCTAAAAAGAAATTTAGAATATTTTTTCTGAGCACTTTTTCAGCAAGTTAATCTCGGTGAATGAAGATATTTGAAAAACCAACAAAATCAGCACTTCTGTATGATACTTCGCAAATGTTTATGTACTTTTTTCGATAGAAGCGTTGTTTTTATACGGCCTTAGGACTTCTGTCAGAAAAAGCGCAGTATGTAGGACCACACCAGCCATATGAGTCTTGCAAGAGGAAGTTCGTTTTTCCGATTATCCACCACACTATACAACAAAGTATCTTTATTACATTTACAAAAAGATATCTCAAGATGAAGCTGGTTATACCAGTTTGTAGTGCGATCTGCACACATCTGTAATACTAAGTCCCAATAAGTGAAATAGAAAAAGCAGGAAAGACTTATTTGCACATGCACAGATTTCGAACATCATGATGACGTAAGTAGGTAATAGTGACAATGAGTTTACTTCTTTCTTCCTATAAATGTGATCTTGCTTTACTTGGAGCAAATCTAACATAATTGAAAAGTTTAACACTTCATGTTATTTCTTTTCAACTTAGAACACTAGCGAAGCTATTTGTGGAGGGGTCAAAAGAGATTGTGGATGAAGCAAAAATTCTCTTAGGTTGTCCGGAAAGCTTTGTCGGTTTTTTTATTCGTTACTGACTCACAGTACACTCATCGACGAATGTACTAAGTGTCGTTCGATTCAAATTTTTATACTCTTTTTGAGGAATACATTTTCTTTATGTTTTATGCGGTCCCTGCCATGTTAGCGCTAGGAGTTCTTGAGCAGTTCAGCAGTGACGCCAAATTTTTCCTAATTTTTATAAATTTTATATAGTTTTATATAGTTATTCGGAAAAAGCGCTGGCAGCTGTTAACCACATATCTACTTTAGATTACATTGATCCACCTTAAGAAATCGGTGACAATTGTTTATTTAAGGGAAACGCCGGCTTTTTGCATTGTAGCGCAGAGGAGTACCGAAAATTCAAAAAAGCTTTTTTTCAAAACAAATCAAATTCGATCATTATGCACAAGTGATGTTTAATAACAATTAAGCTTTAGCTTGCAGAAAACTTTGTGTGCTCATGTTTCTGCTGCAGTTGTCTGTTTCATGACTTCACGGAAATCTAAAATCTTAGAAGAAATAATTTTTGAAGCTCCAATCAGCAGATCAGGGGAGCTAAAAAAACACCTTTTGAAGTTCGAGAATTGCTTTATTTGAATCGCTACTAACCTTTCCCGAAACTATAAAATAAAATTTACAAAAATTAGCCGAATTTTGAGAAGATAAAAAGTAGAAATTTTTCATAGAGAAAGCTTCATAAGACTAGGAATGAAAATGTAGCCACCAGAAAGAGAAGAAGAAGCTGCATCGAATGACTGTTGAAATGTACAAGGTCTTTATTATGCGAGATTTTACATTCAGCTTTCGAGACGACCTAATATCTCTGCTCAATCATTCTCACCCTTCTCCCCTTTCTCTACCCTGACTTTTTTGCAACGTCTTCTTCTAAATAACAATAAGTTGGGGGTGAGTTACTAATGAGCGTAATTTTCAAATTATACAGCCTTTTTAAAATTCGTTCAACCTTATTTATAGTTTACCGGTTATCAGTTCTGAAGACATCCCATAAGTAGACTAGATTTTGAATTTCGTGAGACTATTCAAGCTTACCGCCTAGTTTTGGGTATTGACAATGTTCGCCTAATTAAGATATTGTTTATAGTGAAGAGTTGGGTGAAACAGTAGGAGAGAGGAGAAATATAACATACTTGCAATCTTTTTTTCGAAAGTTTTCTTATTTGTAATAGACGCCCGTGGTAAATTCTCAGAATGATGCAATATATACTGGATTCACAGAAACGTCGAATGTCGACCTTTTTGTCGAATAGCACCATGACTTCAAGTTTCCCACGTATGAAATTCTCAATACATCAAGATGAAGGCTATTTTATGTTAAAGATGCCATTCAATTAGTAGAAATAATTCAAAAAATTCTGATAAGACACTCTCACAAGCGATCTCTGACGTCCTAGCTGTTTTTTAAAGATTGCACGAGTTGCATGCAACAGCAGTGCAACAGCTGCTCGGATAACGTAAGATTGGGATTCGTCTAGACATCAGTGTGCCACTGATCTCTTTTGCTACAGAACTTTGAGTTAGAAAACTGGCAGAACGCCAAATTGACGAAACTCTCCGGACACCATTTTCACACCATACTTCATTTGTGGTGGTTCAAGCGAGCATAAAGACGAATGAAATGTTTGGAAATTAGGAATTCCAAAAAAAGTAATCTTAAATATAGATCGCTAATGTGAAACTTGATCTTCACTATGTTCTAGTTGTCACTGAAATACTCAATCAGAAAAGTGAAAACGAGACCGTTTTTCGCAGTATTTACTAAATACTGAGATAGTCGTGATTCAGCAAAAGTGACAATGAAAAATGAGCGCCAAATCTTGAAAGGTTGACGAATGATAAATGTAGATGAATCTCAAACCATCTATAGAATTCTGGCAATGATTTATTTTGGAGTTCTTTAGACGGTTTTCATCAATCGTCAACATTTCAAAATTTGGCCCACAAATTTAATTATCACTTTGGCTGATTCACGTCCTCACCAACTCAAATCGTGAAAAATGACCGCGTTATCACTTCCCCTCAGCCTCATCCCTCGCCGCGCCCGTTCGCGCATTTTCCAGAATATGAGCCCTCATTCTTGTATTTAAGGGCCGGGCATACTTCACGCGATTTGGCAATATTCCAACCGTCCATAACTCGCTGTAAGCCGGTTTTAAATTCACGGAAAACAGGGTAATTTATCAGTCCATGTAAGTTATAAACGTATGCATGTGCAGTTAGCTAGTGTTGGATTTGAAGACTTCTGGCGAATTGCCAAACCGCCAGTCGAAAGTCGCGAATGAAATCGCCCGAAGTATGCCCCGCCCTTATGTTCCAAACTGTAGTCAGAGTTGCTACAAAGTTTACCATTTTTTGTCCTCCTCCCCTACTTCCAGGGCAAAAAAACTACGTTTTTACTACTCAACTACGTTGCGACCATTTTTCGCTTCGGTGTTCATATTTTTATTAGGGTTGGATGGTATTTTTCCTATAATCGTAATATCCGAATAAAAATTTGTATTATCAAACCTTTATTCATGCAGAAAAAATAATTCAATAAAACTGGATAAAACGTAGAAATATATGGTACAAGCGATGTGTTAATTATCAGTGTTTATATGTGGAAATAGCGTTGATATGATGGAACAAAACACGAGATGCTGTTTACGATGCACAGGCGCATACGCAATGCTGCAAATCGCCGCATCGTACCCGATAGCGTTTCTGAAAAAGAAATATGTGGAAGAAATCATACTGATGTTCTAAAATTACTTTAGAAGGGTAAAATTACAATATCATTTCCGAAAACAGAACAGCTGATATCGAAACCTTTAAAAACGAAATAATCAAAATTAACCAAAAAAACGAGACTGAATTTTACCTTCGCACCAATAAGATTCTTATAATTTCATCTTCGCATCAATAAGATTTTTATAAGTTTGCAGGACATTGAGTTATACAAAAAACCATTGAGATGAGGTACAGTAGCGAACTTGGATTTTTCTATATTATTTAAAGCATTATTTGAAAAAAGCTAAATTTCTTAAAAGAAAGCTCAACTGGTATCGAAATGTTGCCGGTGATTCTGAACCAAGAATCTTTTCATCATGATATTCAAATTGTCCCAGATAATTCTCTAAAGCTTATAAGACCATCTTAAAAATCTTTTTATTTGTCACGAACTGGCCTCGGTAGTTTAGTTGTAGGATCACAAAAATAAATCATTCAATCAAGCGGAGTCATTGTCCCTATCCTATAGATTCTACTTCTCATCCTAAAGACTAGGTTTACTTATAACAAAACCAGTTTATCTTACACTGTGCGTCAATCACTAATCTTACTTCTTTATGTCTACGTGATTCAGCGAAAAGAAAATGTGGAAAATGGGTGTTTTATAGAAATGTGAGTTGTGAGCGACAGAGACGATATCGCCGAAGGAAAATGTTATGACGTTTTAATGCAGCAAAAAATTTTTTTGAAGCGAAGTGAGGTAAAACTGCGGAAAGAGATTATCAAAGTTGTGGACGTGATTCTTATACCTAAAAGATCAATTTCCCCTAATCTATATTGGTGATTGATTGTGCAAACAAATTTTTTTTCGCTCTCGACTTGGGATTGACCGAGATACACTGATAATCTGTTTATTTACTTTGTCGTTATAGATAAGAAGTCAGAAGTTTAAGTAGAACATGTTAAAGCTCTAAAGATCCGTTGAAGACCATTTTGGAGAGAGGTACGGTACTGGACGAGATTTTGAAGTTGAACTTTTTGATATCGAATGAATTGAATGTGTTGCCGCTAAAGTAATGGATTATTTAAGGCCTCTCAATCAGTTCAGTAAAAAACCCCAAGTTCTCTAAAAACTTTTTTACAAAAAAATTACCGTACCTCTACCGTATCTCTCCCGTATCAGCCATTTCTTTATATCAACCAAATCAAGCAAAACTCACACTTGCAGCATGATTTTCCCTCACAGCATTTCGGATCAGATCCCTTGCAGCATTGTTCTCTTCCTTCACAGCACTTAGCTCCTTCGCCACAACAGCTCTTATCTGGGCATGTGCACGTTGGACCACATTTGCATCCCTTCTTACAGCATGGGCATTCCTTGGCGCATGCGCCTCCTTTGCAGCATTGACATTCAGCTACACAACCGCATTTCTCTGCAAAATCGATTCGGAAATGAGGAAACTCAATTTTGGAAGACGAAAAAGGATGGGTATATTTGCGAAGGCGATAATTTCAAGTTTCGCGTCAAACAAGCAAAAGTTCCGCAACCAGCGCTTTTGGCGGGAAAACTGTTGTTAGGGATTGCTAATACAGGTCTGGACATGATATTGTGACATGGTATACCACTGCGAGGTGCAATGAGTTACTTGCGTTTTGCACGTACTACCAGAAGCTACGATTGGCCGATGCAAGTCTCGACACGACTTCATGATATGACGTAGTAATGGGCGGGGCTTACATTTGCTTGCATTCCGCACCCCTTGTAACCTCTAATGCGCCCTCTCTCTCCTCTCTCCCTGCCAAGCAGCAAGATTATCGAGGCCAAATTGGGAAAATAGTCTGTTTTCAACTTCTTTGGCTCAAAAAAACAGTAGGGGAAAATTGTAGGTATTTAAAGGCCGATGAGAAAGATGAATTAGTTTCATGAGAAACGTTTTTATGTTGTCCTGCAGCGCCCGGCTCTCGGCCGAATGCCTGGCCGGCCAGATCGATGCGAACACCGACGAAATAGCAGAAAAACATAAAGACACATCGCTAAATGGAAAATGCATATTCAATTTAAAAAACTGCTTCTGTGGCATTGAAGCCTGCGCTTGGCATGTAAGAAATTTATGCTTCACATTCTCTTCACTTTTTCGAAAAAAAAAAGAATATTAAAATCAAAGGATCATTGCAATCATAGTCCTATTGAACTCGATGGCAATTTCGCCATTTAGTTTTCTTTTCAGGACCCTCCTGCCCGAGAGATCGGTATCTTGGTCCTGAGAAACATGGATGTTTTCCAAGATCTTAGTTAAACTACAGTGTTTCTTCGAACCACATATGAATTTTTTCCAAGATTTCAGCAACACTGCAGTATTTTTTAGGACCACGAAAATCAACGATTTGAGATTACGATCTGCGATCACGATCGCACTGAACTCGATAGTTATTTATCTACTATGGACTTTTTTCCAGAATTTTCTCCTGTAATTTACGGTACCACCTTGTGCCAAGTGAAAAAACACTATTATTCTATTATGTGGTGACTGACAGGACATCGCTTGACCTATAAATTTTCGCCCTACTCTTTGAACTCAACACCTGAAAAAGTCAGGATGCCCGTTTTCGCTGATTGCCAGCAATTATTTTCTTCCCCAAAATCTAGAAGTTCACGAGACTATCAACTGTTTCGTGTTTCCTTGAAATTTTTCCCGAGAAAAACTTTACGGTTGTGCCAGGCTCGGCTATGGTAAAAACCATCTTGCAGTGAAAAATGTCTTTGCGCACAATCTTGATTCGGAGCCAAGTGATCGCCGTGACCTTGAAAAAGTCCGGCACTTTCAAAGAACAACTTGTTTAGGGGGGGGGGGGCGTGAAAAGGACATACAAAGGTTAATTTTTTTGCGTGTTACATATGTATGTACTTCCTGTTTGCGGAGAAGTAGGCGCGTGGGGGGGGGGGGACTCTGTTAACAAGAAAAGAGTGGAAGAAAACCAGATAGGATAGTAAGATTGCGCAACTTTCGGTTTCTCCAGTTTATAAGCAGGATATAGGACCTGTGAAGGGGAGGGGGGAGGGAGAACACAGAATAAGGCAAAATATTTCATGACGTCATCATTTCGAGAAGAATGGGAATAGAAATTTGCGAGTTTACAAGTATATATAGATACATTGTTCACTTCTTTTCCTCTGCCCTAGTTTGTTTGAAAAAAGTCAAGAAGCTTTCCATAATGTCTTCCATTTAGAAAATTTTTAAATAATGCAAAATCACGAATCCTTATCGCGCAAAAGCTTTTATGTTTCATCTCCTCCCATTTCTCCCTCTTCTCTAACTCTGCAAATTTAGCCAGTAATTTCAACAGTTTACGAGCGAATTAGTATCAACTGTAGATGCAAATGCAGAATTGAATCGAATTAGTATTAACTGCAGATGTATGAGAAAAGGAAATACGGTAAGGAGGGAGTGGGGAGTGGGGTACATCGTTTGCCTAATAAATTTTCAAAGTTTTCACATAGAAGAGAAAAAAATAACCATCCTTACTCTTTTTGAAGAAAAATTATTCTCAGGCCAAAGATCTTACTATTTCACTAGTAGAAACGAAAGTTATCATGATGCAATTTATTACGTTCGCTTTCTCGGAGAACTGATTTGGAGTTGGGGAAAAATAAATTAGCGAAATTTTCGCAGACATCAGTTATCTGTCAAAAGTCTTAGGCAAAAGGCAAAAAAGAATTGCGGAAACGTTGATATGTAGCTATATTTGTAACGATGAGGCTACAGCTACTGCTCTTCAGATTTTTCTTCTAAGAATGACTCTCAACTATATGGGTTAGCTCCCCCCCCCCTCTCGTACTAGCTTCAAAATTGTAATCGAACGAAGAAAATGCTGGTCAAAGGAGCAATCATTGGGATTTCCTAGCAATGAAGCAGCAATGAGAAAGTGTTGAAATCTTCAAGTTATTATCTACTCACCACATTTGTCAGCCATAGTGAATAGAAGTTTGAGCTCACACTCAGACCACGGCAGAACACTGACGGGGATAATAACAAGTGCGATGGGGCGGTACTATTTATACGGAACGGGGGGCCAGCCGGGGCGTTCGAATGGGCAGAGTGCCGAGATAGCGTCGTCGTTTAGGAAACGCAGATCGAACGAGGCAAGTTTTTCCCGTGACTCTCTAGAAATGGGGGGTTTTTCTTATCGGATTTGTGGTCAAGCACGGGGCAACCGTTAGTGATAACATGATTATGATAGGGTCGCCTGCAAGTTGGCACTTTTTTGGCTGTGATTAGTGCCCTGAATTGCACGCGCTGCGCTCTCGACGTTCGGCGTTTTTGAACTCTGCACTTTGCTGAGCAGAATAGGAGACATGACATCACTTGAGTGATATGTTTCAAAAGATCACTGAGCGGTTTGAGAGATCAATTGAATTTATCTTATCTGGAAGTTGGCAGAGCTCCAAAAACCTCCAAAGTTGATATCGCAACCATTTTGGATGACAGATCAAATACCTTAGATCACGCGTCCGGAGTGTCTACAACGCTACAAAAATTGATTACATGCACTTTGATAGACAATTCTTGGCTGATTTTAGTGAAATATAACCACTTTATATACACAAAAAGGGTAAACGACAACTCTTAGTCGATTTTGAATATACATGATTCAAAGTTGAAAAAGAATCAGCTCGCCAGTTTAAATTACGCCAGATTTCCTCCTATTCAAACAAAAACACTTTTATTCCACATCCAAGTTATCAAAAACAAAAATTTTCAAACAACCAAAGGAGAATACTGAGTTGATATAAAACAAGGTCTGCAACAAAAATATTTGGAAAATTGTTTCCAAAATGTTTAAATTCTTACGTACATGTATAACATCCTATAAAATTATGTAGACAATCAAGGAACGGAATGAAATTGTAACTATTCCACAGAAACATACAACACTACGAACTTCTCCTTTAGGTAGGTCACTGAAAAAAAATTAGACTCTTCGGACCATCTAGCATTTTTGAATTCCGTAGATGTGCGAAGTTGTATGTTCCCTTTATCGGCGTGTATCTCTATATGAGAACGAATTTTACGCTAAGCACTTGAGAACGGACTTTGTTACGAGTACATGAAAAATTTGGTTCAAGACTTACGTGTTAACCCTAAAATCTGAAATGAATATTTCTTTCTCCAATAGCACTTGTTAGCTGTGTGCGACGAGAACTGGTCCCTACGACTGCATATTCCGTACAGTAAAACAAGTTACAATGTAGAAAGATTATGTCTCCTGACCTCGAAGCTAGGGGTTTCAAAATCTTCATGGTTTAGAAATTGTTGTGCAAGCTTTAGCAGTATTCTTTTCCGTAAATAGCATATGAAGACGAATTTAGATATGTATCTTGTGTTGATTATTTTGCTAACATTTTCACGTAAGTGGATATTCTTTAGAAAAGATATTTTTATATAGAAGTATGGCTTAGGAGGATTGTATTCTTTCATAGTCCTTGTCTGCGGTTCACCGTCCTAGCAATGCAATTGATATACTGGTTAATGTAGGAGCTTTACATCTGAATCCTCAGAGACTTCATCTTTTGAGCTGTCGACGTTCATCTAAAGATAACTGACATAAATCACTTTTTTCTACTGTCTTATGCCCTTACTGAAGAAAATTTCCAAATTTCAAATAATTTTGACTCTTGTAGCTTTAGACTATATACAAAGACTTTTTTCTCTTTTTGGATAGGAATCGCCATTAGTGAGCAAATAATGAAGCTTGTTGCAGCAAAGGTGTTTTTTGCATTAGAAATGCAATCACCATTCATTTCCATTTTTATCTCGAACGACTTTTGAAATTTGAAATGTGATGTTTACGATAATTTCAAGATTTGTGCTCGCGATAACATTTCAAAGTCAGCGAATGCTTTTTCTAAGAGCGAAATAAACCTTATAAAGAAATCCCATTCAGGCCTAAGACTCCTCTCTAATGGCCACATGACGTCAGTGACCACTGCTCTCCGATGACAACGCGACATTGATGGAAAATTGCATCTTTGAAGATTTTGAATGTGTATAGGGTGGAAATTTACATTTTAGCAATGAATTAGCACCTTATGGTTGCTAATAAAAATTCAATGGGAAAAAAGCAAACTAATGATTGGGTAAAAGCACATACTAAGAACGCTCGACCTTATGCTCATCACTCCTGATTATTTTTTGGAATGTCTCCAAAATTTCCCAAAACTTTTAGCATGCTCAACTTACATTCTATTCAAATGTGCATCAAGAAATGTTTTACACAACGCGCTCGGTATTCTACGACTAATGGCTTGTAAAGTGCAAGTAGAAAATTATTATGATTTCCTTTTTTGACAGGAAGCAGGTGTGAATAATCATTTCCAACAGTTCCTTTGATTCATGAGATTCTCTAATTATTTACACTTCTAACTATGTAAGTAGTCGTAAGATCTCGCATGCGGTGTGCAATTTCACAAAGTGGGTTACAAATGGCTCCATTACACGCAACGAACCGATCCTGTTTTTTCTTATAATCTTCATGTGCCCTATGTTGCAACTTAGTGATCAGACAGAATTTACAATCCGCTGAACTGAGTGGTCGCAGAATCCGATTTTGACAGTAATCCGGTGCAGATTGTAATGTTGCAATCTTGGCACTGATTTTTTGTTGTAGCCCTTTGAGATCGTATACCAATATGATTTTTGAATGGCATTTTTTTTTTTGGTTTTGAGGTGCAAGCGATTCTATAGAATGCATTCGGATGACTCATACATACATAGGTATGTAACAACCAGTTGCGCTTCCACTCTTTGGCAGAGGAACGGGCAGTGGGGGGGGGGGGGGGAGGTGGAAGGGGCAATAGTCTCATCTACAAAAGCTAGCCACTAACCTAGATAAATTATAATACTGTTTCGTTATTCAAGCATTTGTTTTATCAACTGAACGTGTGATTATGAGTACAAGGAACAAAAGTAATAAAGGTCCCAAGTATAGAAAACCCATTTTTCAAGTGAGCAAAAATATAGAAACTTGATGTTTGAAACGGTGTTTTGAACGGCAGCTTACTTCTTTTTTTAAATTTTATATTATGACCATCTACAGCCTGTCTCATGTTAAATCATTCACATTTTCCTAAATGTTTGGTCTGTATCTAGCCAAAAATAAAAAAGCCCTAATAGATTGACTGCGTCAAGTTTCAGGTACAACATACTTGGCGTATCATTTTATTTTGAGATCGTTTCATTCGCAAACGCAGAAAATGCACAATGCGACGCGAAGCGCTCCATATACTCCGTTCCATAGCATCTGCACTGCTCATACACGGTCTAACAGGCTTTATCCCTTTTTATTCTCAACACGTAGCTGGATTTGAGCTTTTGGGGATGTTTTGTTATTTTCTTTATTACTGTTCATGTTCTAAGTATTTTCGTGTTTTTTGTTCAAATATGCCATGCCCAGTGCGTATTGAATAAACAAAAATGAATAAATATTCGCAGACCAAGCACAATTTCCACTGCGTCTTAAATATTTTTGAGAAACTTTCATTTCGTGCAATTTACCTCAACACGAATATAAATCTTCATTTACAACATTATGTGAACGTGCCTTATTGTTAGACTCTATTTCCATGATTTCATATCTGCACTTTTTTCGGTATTTCAGGTTACTTTAATTGAGCGCCGTTGGCTCATCCGTCATACAAAAGAGTGATGGATACGGAACACTTGGTTTCACCTTTTGGTAACTTAACATTTCAAGTGAAAAAGTGATTCATACACTGCATATAATACCGTTATGACATCACCTTCGCCATACAATTATCGCTGAATAATCATCCTGTTTCTTTCGCTCGCATTTTTTCATTGTTAAATGTCATCGTAAAATAGTCACATAAACATCGTTCATGAATTATTACACCGCAGGAAATAAAGTAATGACCTTTAACAACGACCTTTCCTTTATATTTTGAAAGAAAGTTAGATTTAAGAATTTTTCTAGAAATATCAAAGCTTCAAATAACTATAGTCAAGTAGATTTACCGCTTAATACAGTGTCCCTGCAGACGCGACAACGCCTGTGCGTCAAAAATTGGCATTGCGAGTTTCCATTACTGTTTCTGGTGTTTTCGTTGCCAGTTGTCATTAATTTTTAATTGCAATAAAAATCTGTTATTCTCACCTATCGAAGACCTTAAAATACCTTCCTGTCTTTCGTGTTGAAATATTATGAAATTCATCATTTTCAGATCATAAGACAGTCGCGTGTGAAGTGCAATCTTTTGTCACCGCAAGGATGATAAAATCAGTTCTTATCAACTAATGATCAAATAGCAATTTTGTTTGAATGCCTGTAAACAAGCGAGAGTCCATTTCCCTAAAAAAAAACAATAAAATTAAAAGATAATCTCTCACTCGAAACAATGAACTAAAGAATCCGCCGCCTCACATCATCCTGCATCATACCAATGTGAACGGAGGGGTGGGGGGGGGGGGGTCCCGAAAGTGGTCGCAAAAATTTTCAAAGTTACGAGTTACACATGAATACAAACCCAAGTGAGTTATAAAGTTGTGCGAGCAACTTGATCTTACTTAATATTCAAAACCAGCCGCTTTCTGCCGCTACGCGGCAGATTCGGCTGTTACTCGGCAGCTTCGCTGCCTCGTACACTTTTCATTTTAATGTATATCGATGTAAGATCAAGTCATTTGATTGCCTGTTCGTACGAACTACTTCTGTTTATGACCTGTTTAGATCGACAGACCGAAGACATAATTTTGTACCTGCAAGTTTATTGAATCAACATCATAAGCAACAAGTAGTATGCAATTAACAACAACATAGAATGGCTGCAACAGTGACTACACCAAAAAAGAAGATGCCAACAACAACGATAAGTACAACAGAAAAGGCCTATGACACAACAACAGTAGCGAAGAAGCATCCGTAACAGCAAAAATCTTAGAGTGTAGAACTTCACAGGACTTCGGTGAAAACGACGTTGATTGGATTGCTTTGGATTGGCGACTTGCACAATGAGACCTTCACGCGACCTCGAACGGCTGAGGGCCACATAGAGTTGACCGTGACTGAAGACATCGGTGGGAAGCCACAATCCAACCTTGGTGAAGGATTGGCCTTGGGCCTTGTTGATGCTCATAGCGAGCGCCAATCTGATGGGTAATTGGGAGCGCCGGAGTCTGAAGGGCAGATTCT